GTCATTCCAGATGATACTGATCTGCGTTTGCGGATCATGTTCGAGTATCACGATGCTCCAATAGGAGGACATCGTGGCCGAGAGAAAACATATCTCACGGTAAGTCGAGACTTTTACTGGCCCCGCCAGTATCAGTTTGTGCGAAAGTATGTTCGCGCATGCGAAGTCTGCCAACGAGTGAAGTCAAGTCCTTCACTGCGTGCACCTTTACAGCCTCTACCGGTTCCGGCTGAGTGCTGGGAATCCATCTCAATGGATTTCGTCTTCGGGTTACCCAAAGACGCACGCGGGAATACGGGTATTCTCGTATTTGTTGACAGATTCAGCAAAATGGTACACCTTGTAGCTGTACCAGAGACAATCACGGCAAGTGGCTGTGCTTGTGTCTTTATTGACACCATCTTCCGACTTCATGGGTTGCCCCGTGAACTCGTATCAGACAGAGATCCACGATTCACTGCTGATTTCTGGCGTTCCGTGTTCAAATCACTCGGAACGCGCTTGAAGATGTCGACATCTGATCATCCAGAGTCAGATGGTCAGACGGAACGTGCCAATAGTGTCCTTGAAGAGATACTTCGAGGATACGTACACTCCTTTAAGAGTTGGAGTGAGTTTTTGCCAATGGTAGAGTTTGCCATCAACAACTCGGTGCATGCGTCCACGACACATACACCGTTTTACGTGAATGGCTTGCGCCATCCGCGTCCCCCGTACCCACCTAGAGTACTAGAGTGTAACTCTGGTTTAAGGGGGGGAGGGACTCGCGCGAGCAAAAACCGATTTGGTTCACGCTCATCACGCTCTGACGAAGAAGTCATTGCGTTCGATGCCGATATCGATAACATCGATATCGAAGAAGATGATACCAGTGAGAGTGCGGAAGCCCTCACTGAAGACAATGATCCCAGCGAGAGTGCGGAAGCCCTCACTGAAGAAAAGGTTGTTGTCGCTGCAGTGCGCTCACAGCACACTGAAGCTAACGAGTCATCAGATGAGTTCATACTGGCTCGTGAAACGGTAGTCCGTTTTGTGCAAGACTCCATCGCCGAAGCGGTGGATAAGCAAAAGCAAAACGCTGACAAGAATGGAAGGGCAAACACTCTTTTTTTTAATAAAGGTGACTTAGTCCTACTGTCTACGGTTACTCTACCAAAGCATGTAGTGACTAACTTGGGTAGCAGTAAACTACTACCCAAGTACATTGGCCCATTTCGTGTACTGCACCGCCTAGGCAATGCATACACGATCGAGTTACCACGTAAGATGCGAACGCATCCCACGTTTTACGTTGGTCGGCTTAAGCCGTACCATCAGTACGCTGCTTCTTCCGATGAAGAACGCCCTTGCGCTCAAGCATCTCGCAGAGAGCCTTGTGCTCCCGATGGTGGGCATCAACAAGGGTCTGAAGAGCAGTTATCTCAGCCCGAGACCGATCAACAATCCCACGAGCTACCCTTAGCTCGTCACGAAGAGATGTCAGAGATCTCTCGTTCTCAAGCTGAGCAAAGGCAAACTCAGCTCGATGCTTCGAGGCAGTGTCCACCATTTGGAGACGCCTATTCCGCTCATGCTCGAGATCGTCGCGTAACCCTTGCGTTACGCGATCAAAGAAGCTCTCGGGAACACACCGATCCACATGATCGTGTGGAGAGCGTCTTTCCTCCTCCTCCACCTCCATTAGAGGACTCTCGCGGTGGCCAGCGCTATCTAGTTGAGCAGCTGTTGAACCAACGCGACGTGAACGGACGTCGGACGAGTCATCTCGTCTGGTGGCGCGGCTATCCCCCGTCCTGGGATTCTTGGGAGCCCCGCTCCCAATTGATGGTTGACGTACTGGGTCTGGTCGAGCAGTACGACGCGGCACATCCTGTGCCGCAGAAGGACCGCCGGAGAAAGTCTTTCCGGCACGGTCGTAAAGGGATTTCAGGTTGTCAATCCCTTCGTACATCTCAGTAGAGACACGTACGCGCCACCACGGGCTGGTAAGGAGGTAAGCCTCCTTAGGTGCTCGTGCAGAGTTGTTCACACAACATGGGCACGGGTCTCCCCAAGAGAGGCAGGGTAATCCTTTCTCCCTTGACAGACGATGCAGCTTGTAGCGTGCACCTGTCGGGGTTCGCTTTTCAAACTTATCACGAGCTTTGATAAGTTTGTCGTTCCAAGCGTCACGACCTACGTCCTCGAGGTTATGGATGTAGGCGTTCCACGCCTGAAGTAGTGAGGGACCATCACGTTTGTGATTCCCACTGTACCATCGATGTTTGAAGAAAGCATCGATGAAGAATTCGTGTTCAGCGCGATAGTTTTTCGCGCTGGGGTCAAGGTGATGGATCCTTGACGAATCGAACAATCGTGTTCGATAACGATCACTCGTCGTCGCCGACAAGTGATCCATGACGGATTTGGGAGGCATCCATGCCTTCTTTTCTGGAGCGAGACGCAAGACATTGCGGTCCCGCTCTTCCTGCGACGTGCCGACAGAAGTTCTGGCACCTCGCTGTGAAGTGCTGTCCATAGGAGAACCGACACCACTGTTAGCGCCCGAGTCTCGCGACCTCGAGCGCCTTCGCTTCGGCGATGGTTCATCTGATTCGTCAGATAAACCAAAGATGCTGCGACGCAAAGCATCGTCCATGCCACGCTTGGCAGGCGGCTTAGATTCAATCGCCGTTGATACGGATCCGTCATCCGTATCAGGAGAAAATGAGACACCGAGCTCGTACTCTGTGAAGACACGAGTGTCTTCATGACCAGCGCCTGCGTCACCAAGTGACACAGGCTGGGTCTCTTCAGCAACCGATGGGACATCAGTTGCTGTTGTCTCTGCTTCGGCGTCCGCACAGAGACGTGCAGACGCGCTCTCGGCGGCCTTGCTCGCGCATCGCATGGGCTTGTTAACTATGCGATGAGATGTTGGAAAGTGGACGCGGACCAACAAGTGCAAACCCTGTCCCAAATGATTTGGGACGAGTATCCATTTAGTCAATCAGTCACTAAAGTGACTGATGGTTAAGGGGGGGGTGATGTAACGGGGTGAATCGTTACATAGCAACTTATAAGAAATTGTTAATAGAACATAACTACAAGAGTTATATTCTCAGAATATTGTCATAAGGACAAATATTATGTTGCACTTACAAGTAGTTCCTAATTGGTTGATATAGGCCATTATATCAACCAACGAAGACGCGCCACGACAGACGCACGCAATGAGTGGTGAGCAGATAACTGATTTACACATTTGTATTTAGACATAGTTAGATGAAGACAAATAGTGATTTATTGCAGACATTAACTATACTAAATACAGTTCTACTTTTTACTTTAACCAAGTACTCGCTTCTTCTTACCGTCTTCCTCTGCACGTACGAGTGTACGTGAAGTTACGAGGCACCGCCTTATTCTGTTATCAGAATAAGTAGCTTGTACTGTCATCAGTACAAGCTTCAGGGTGCCCCGTTACAGATACTGAGCGAAAGTAGAACGTGGTGCTTCTTACCATGTCCCCCGACTCAGATGATAGGCATTTTGAATCGTAGGACTGCGCGAGGATGGGTCAAATTCGATCTTAATGGTCAAATTAAATATCTTGTGGTACATTTTCAGAAGTAGTCGGACCAAGTAGAGAGATTTATGCCGCGCGGTCCTTCAGATCACTCTGGGGCGATGTGCGAGTACTCTGACTCAGTTTGAACTCCTTACAGGACCCGCACCCCTTATTACACTATGGGGATTTTCGGCCAGTAGGGCCTTCAGCCCACCTAACTATCACACGCCTTGCGCGGGTTGGCAGGGCGGCCACTTCCGCGTGGTTGCTCGCCTGCTATATCGGCCTATCCCCGGCGCCCTGTAATCGAACACCCACCGGGTATCGATCCAGGTACCTCCCGGTCCCAGTTCCAGCGGTCTACCACAGTCGGACCGAGTAGATCAGACGTGTTGTCGATCGGTCCTCGAAGTGTTACAGGTAGCACCAGTTCGGACAAGACCCTACAAATACACTATTGCAACATCTGTGTTCCATTCACGTCGATCCACCACAAGTTTAAAGTCGTTTCGTCAACCGCCGTGGAGCTCATGACTTTGCCACAACCACTTCGACTGCAATGAAAACATGGCAAACGCCTATTATACGTTATTTGCACTTTCCTCACTCGACTTGTACCGCGTCAATTAGGTCATCTCAGTCTTCGTCAGCGGCTATAATGGGCTATCAAACGTCATCTGATACAAGCCTCTGGATACCGAACCAGACCATGTTCAGCTCTCCACCCTTAGTGTATACGTGCTACCCATGTCTTCGTCAAGTTGTAAGATGCATTCCCGCAATCAAGAATTGCACGCAATCTAGGAGCTGTTAAGTTCCCGTTCGACGCTGTTTGACGATAAAACTACGCTCAGGAATCAGACTGCTCGATTTTATAGATCATCATTTGAGAGTGGAAACGCTTGTACACCGCACCAACACGCCAAAAATTGAGAAGTTTTGATTGAGTAAACTAGCCTTTACCGTCGAAATAATGTGAATTAGGATGGGTTCAAGCCATTTTCCTATAACTTCAGCCCCGCTGAACGATCGATCTCTTGTTTCTTTTTTTGGACTGTAGATGCATACGCGGTCAAGATAAGGGTCTTGAATGATGTGATGACACCCGACGCTGATGCGTTGCAGTGGAGTTGTATTGGCATTGACAGCACTTTAAGTTTCACGAAATATCTGTGACGAGAAGATCAAGATTCTCAATCTGTTCGGCGTGTTGTAATTCGCATCAGTTGCAGGTGTGAAAAAAAATGTTAGGTGACGCCACTTTTAAAATTGACGGGCCTGTAAAGCTAAAGCCGAAATTCACTCATGAGTGTGATGCCCTTTCGATGCACCACTTCGCAATCAATTCATTCTGACTAGTAGACACTTTAACCGACTGTACCAGATAATCAAACGCCGCCACGACATCTACGAAATGTCGATGAATTTAAGAGCATTACATGTTTCGCAACTAGCGACTATTTAAACAATCGGTCCAGGTATCCTTCTGCCTTGACAAGCTCATGAAATACGCCTGGTTGTTCACAAAATTTTGAGGACTGTCAAACTCCACCACTCGACCATCACTAAGCACCATGACCCGATCGGAGGCCAAGACCGTGCCCAAGCGATGTGCGATTATCATCACCGACGCTTCGCGAAAGTCTTCATTGTTCATCTGCTGCAGCTTCTTTTCCGTCGCATTGTCGATAAACGCAGTCGCCTCGTCCATCACCACGACTTTACTGCGAGTCAAAAGCGCGCGAGCCACGCACGGTATCTGCCGCTCGCCGTCGCTAAATGTTAGCCGTTCTCGGTCAGCTCGCACGCTAACTGACCTTCCAAGACCGACACTTGCATCTTCATACTCACTTTATCAAGTGCACTTTAAACATATCGGCGTCTCTAAACTCGTAAAACGGATCTGTAACGGGGTAGCCCGTTACATGATATTGACACCAAACGGTGTCAATATGAATGTTGTCTAGCATGGCAAATTCTACCGATATTATCCCAGATGGATAGCATTAAAGGAATGCTATCCCCACGATTGGTTGATATCAGACATATTAACAAAAGATTGCCACCAATCGCTGCTAGACGCGCGCAATGAGTGGTGAGCAGGTTGTCTTCATGCGACGATGTAGTTTAATATAGTTAAATAAAGATTGAAGTTACATTGATAGCTTTACCATATTCAATATTGTTCTCTTTTTACCTTTTACTCAAACTAGCTGTTGGAGTAGATCAGCTTCCTCTGCACGTACTAGTGTACGTGAAGTTTCGTGGCAACCCCAACAAATGGTGCCTCGTTACACCTGGTAGCACTTCGTAGTACGTCCAATGACTACTTAGTGTTCGTCTAACATGAACATGTCGGACGTAGAAGACGACAGCTTTCTCGTCACACGTCAAAGCTACTCCCATCTGAGTGACTCAGAATGGGAGGTAGTTAGCCGCCTGAGTGTGCTCATGGGCGAACCCACCATCAGCTATATGTTGGAGTCGATAATCAGTGAACAACAACACGCTGCTATCAACAAGTTCCTACAAGGGGAACTTGCCGTCGAAAGACAGAAGACAGCCTTGATACAACAGCAAGGCTCTCATTAGTCGATGGGCGGGCCGACGCACATGCGTCGACACGAAACTTTGAAGATTGATATCTCAAGGTACAAGGGAACCGATGAAGATTCCCTTTTGAGATGGTTCGTCGAGTTAGAAGATGCCATCAGGGCCCGTCACATCGAGGGTGACGAGATGCAAGTCACCTTCGCCCTGTCAATCGAGACAGGACGAGCAAAAACTTGGGCCTTAGGGCTCAAGATTCACGACCTAAACGTGTTTGAGTTGTTACAGATCTCGAAGTCTCGGCTTAGAGAGACGCTTAAACCGCCAGGATACAATTTCAGAGCACGCTCTGCACTCTTGAGGATCAAGCAAGGTAAGCCTGATGTGCATGCTTACGCACAACACCTACGCTACCTTGCGAGTAGCGTCTCGGAAAACCCTGTTGGTGAGCACACGCTCATCAACGTGTTCATCTACGGCCTTGTAGATGAAACGGTGAAGGCCTACATGTTTCAAGAGGACTTCCATACGCTGGAAAAGGCGATAGCATGCAGAACAAGAATACTTTACCCTGAAACAGTCTCCGACAAACTCGTCAAACTATCGTCCAACGAGACGACAGGAAATAGGAGGTCCGAACCAATGGACCTCTGTTACATCGAGAGAGAGAACTCTCGCCCTCAGTCACAAGCGAACGGCAAGATGTCATCGCTGTCAGAAGATTGGACACTACGCTCATGAGTGTAGTGTCCCAAGCACCGCATCACGTACAAAGGCAGGACGTGATGACTACCGTTGGCCAAGGAAAGGTCCAAGGCGAGGGTCCGACCATGTCGCTAAGCTGCGACAGCAAGTCGGACCGTCAAAAAAACGGTCAGGGTCATTAGGCGCAGAGCACCCTGCTGATCCAGCAACGTCAAGAGAATATGCAGGACTCTCAGTGAAGATTGCTCCCAACACACAGTCGTTGTGTGTTACTTCCCCTAGTGATGAGGATTCCCTCATCACTTTGAAGATCGAAGTGACAAGTAGACTGTCACTTCGCGCCTTAGTTGAATATGGGGCGTCGAACAGTTTTCTTCGAAGCCAGTCGCTAAAGGATAGTAGGCTCAACTATGTTGAGCAAGATATCCCTCCAACGAGGATGACGGTGTGCCTTGATACATGCGCATCCGTAACATTGAACAAACGTGTAGTGGAAAATACACTACACGCTAGAAGGAAAGCAGTACGATGATGACTTCATCGTATTAGCTTTGAATGACAAACTTGATGTCATCCTCTGTCTGCCATGGATTAGAAAGTACCATCCATGGATCAGCTGGCAGCATCAATCCGTGAAGATGCCTGTCGTTTGTTCATCGGATGGCCATCTGATGAACGTCTTGGGGCGTCCACAACCGTGGGGATGTATTACGAGTGAGTGCGATGGCCTCACTTGTGACAAAGTCGTTAGTATGAATGCACAAGATCACATTGTAGAAGGCCACTGCACTGTGGAACCAGCTTTCGGCACCTGTGTAGGGAGAGTTCACCCTTGCAGCCTTTACTGATTCCGGCAGAGTGTTGGCAGTCCGTAGTTGCCGATGGTGGAACTTGCCATCAACAACTCGGTGCATGCGTCGACAACGCGTACGACGTTCTTCGTGAATGGCCAACGCCATTTACGTTTACCCTCCTTCTTAGAGTGTGACTCTAGTATAAGGGGGGAGTGGACTCGCTCGAACAAAAACCGATTGAGTGTTTGCTCATCACACGTCGAAAATGGTATCGACGTGATGGATGCCGATGTCGTTGCGATCGATATCGATGATGATGACGACGACGATGATGGCATATTCAGCATCGCCAATGACTGACATAGTGAGGACTTTGACGCCCTCACTGGTGAAGACAACGTTCTTTCAGCAGTGCACACGAAGCGCACTGCGGTTAACAAGTACAATTCAGCAGGGGAATTCTGCTGACTCTCGAAGCGGTTGTCCGCTTCGTTCAAGACTCTATTGCAGATGCACTAGACATACAGAAAAGAAACGCAGACAAACGTGGAAGAGAAAATGTTCTTTCGTTTGGTGAAGGAGATTTTGATTTACTTTCTACAGTAAAACTACCGAAACACGCAGTGACAAACGTGGGCAGCAGTAAATTACTGCTTAAGTACATTGGTTCATTTCGTGTATTGCGCCAAATGGGCAACGCATACACGATCGAACCGCCTCGTAGGAAGTGTATGCATCCTAAATTTAACGTTTAACGTCTTCGCCCGTGCTATCAGTAAGAGCCCGTTTCAAGAGGCAAATAACACCTCTGCGGTTAAGAGCCGAGACCACCTTCGAGCGATCCCGTTCCAACAAGCCAGTCTGGTCGACTAGAGAAGCGACCTGCTCACGCAGTCGAGCGATGCCCTGAAAAGCTGCAGTCAGATCGTCACGAAGAGAATGAACCGAAAGTTCGTTCTCAAGTTGCGCGAACGCAAACGCGGTACGATCGTGCGAGCGATCGTGCGATAAGAAATTATGATTATTCCTTAACAATGTCAAGGAGGTCTTAGCGCCGAGTCCGTTCATGTGCCAAGTCGTAGTTTAACAGTTCAGTTACACGGTTCAATTCCTGAACATCAAGCTGATCCGACCCTCGAGACGGATCAGATGTTCCCGCCACCACCACATCCTTTGGTGGACTCAGGCGGTGGTCAACGCCTTCAAGTGGAGTGTATTTTGAACCACCGCGACGTGAATGGCGTGCGGACAAATTACCTCGTCCGCTCGCGTGACTATCCACTGGTCTAGGAAAGCTGAGAGCCTCGTGCCCAGCTGATTGTTGATGTTCCGGATAGCGTCAAGCAATATGACGAGACCCAACCGCTGCATGTGAAGTAGGGCCGTCGTAAAACGACCTCCCCGAACGCGAGTACAGGGATTGCAAGGTGTCAATCCCTTCGGCCATCTAAGAAGAGATGCGCGCCCTCCAGTAGGCATCATTAGGGTGTAAGACTTCTTGGGAGCTTGATTTGATTAGTCCAGGCAACTTGGACAAGAATCACCCCACGAGAGACAAAGTAACCCTGCCTCTCTTGACAGTCTGTGCAACTTGTACCGTACACCGGCTTGGTTAAGCTTTTCAAATCTTATGCGAGCTCATCAAGTTTACCGAGCCCAGCCTCACGGCCAATGCACCCTGTGTTATGGATGAAGGCATTTCATCCTTGCACCAAGGTCTTCCCGTATTGAAAACCACTGTTGTTGTACCACCGGTGCTTGAAAAACGCGTCGATGAAGAACTCTTCCTCAGAACGGATAGTTTCCGTGCCGGGATTAGACGGACAGATCCTCCTACAGTTGAACGAAGGGATTCGATTCCGTTAGGTGGTCACATCATCTCCTCGATCTAGATCTTTTGACGATGGCATCCAAGGATACTCCACTTGAGGAGCGTGGCGCAGGAAGTTGCTGTCCCTGTGCTCTTAAGTGGTGGAGCACTTACACCAGTGACAGCTCGATCCCTCGAGTTTTTCTCTCGTGGTGATGCATTATGCCATCATCACTATCACCACGCGTTCTATCTTTATGGACTTGCGTGAGGCGGAGATTCGTCGGAATAATCGCTCAATCCGAAATTCTCGGACAGGATACCACCACGTTCACCAGAGCCATTCACCCTGGTTCTTGCAGTGTCCGCCCCAGGTGACCCGGAGGCGTGAGGTGTCGCCTTCGAGTCGGATACATCATCCGACTCGCCAGAAGATATGAGCTCTATTTCAGACTCATCTAGATTGCGATTCGCGGTACCCGCTGCATATGCAGCGGATGTATCTTTCGCAGTTAGTGACTCACCACGTTGAATGTTCACAACAACAGGTGACGAATCACCAGATGCTGAGTCGTGAGAAGTACTCTCTTTGATAGCTTGCATGCGTGTAACCGCCTTTCTTGCTGCTGCAGTAGCAACTCGTTGAAGTTTCGAAACCATGCGTTGGATTGACAAATGAATGGAATTTGAACGACAAGTGCTCCCTTTCCTAGAGTGATCCGAAAATGGCTACCCTGTCCTAATTAAATCTAATTCAATCAACGGGTGATTAAAGGTTAAGGGGGGGTGATGTAACGGGGTAGCCCGTTACATGATATTGACACCGAACGGTATCAATGGGGAGATTGTTCAGCATGACAATTACCTACCAATATTACCCGAGATGGACAATATCGAAAATTCATTATCCCCTTCTAGGATCATGTTCATGCTCTGCTCCAAGATTGGTTGAAATACGACATATCAACCATAGATTGCCACTAATCGCTGCTAGACGCGCGCAAGGAGCGGTGAGCAGGTTGTCGTCATACGACGATGTCGTTTAATATCGTTAAATAAAGATTAAAAGTATATTGGTAGCTTACTTATATAAAAGTACAGCTCTCTTTTACCTTTTCTCTAACTAGCTGTTGAGTAGATAAGCATCCTCTGCACGTAAAACTGTACGTTAATTTCTATCGGCGCCTAAAACAACGGGCGTCCCGTTAACACGCAACCGGTGCCTCAATATGTCCATTGCTGAACGAACGCTCAGCGCGCTTGTAGAGGGATTGCAAATTACTAATATCTTTGATTTTCTCTTGAGTGACACGCATCCCCCACCGTAAGTTTGTTATCGAGTGGGCTTCATGTGGAGCTCGTGTGAAGTTAATCGCACCAAGTTTGGCAAATATCACACCAAGAGAGGCATGGTAGCCCTCCCTCTCTTGACAAATGAAGCAGATTTAATTGTGCACCGGTAGGTAACAGTTTCTCAAACGAAATTTAAGCAAACAATATCTTGATGAGCGAGGCATCACAACCAATCTCACCAGTGCTAAGCATAAAAGCGTTTCAAGTCTAAAATTTCGATGGACAATCACGATTGTGATTCCTACTGTACCGTTGATGCTTAAAGAACGCATTGATGAAGAAATTTTGCTCGGCGTGAAAGTTACTTCCACTAGGATCAAGCTAATAGAGTATAAAAAATCAAGCAATCTTTTTGGATAACTACCACTCGCCGTGTCATGCAGATGAGCTGATCCTCTCTGAGGAGGGTGCAGCAGCTTCGTCTTAAGAGCAACGCAATCCTCAGCCTCTTTCCTAGTGTCAACATGATGCCGACACTGTTATCATTTCGCTCACCCGGAATCTGATTTATTATTAAATCACCGTCAAGATTGTCCTGGTGCCCTAAGCCATCGTCTTTTTTGATGTGGACCAAATGACTCCGATTCGGAGAAGGTGGTTCGGACTCGTCGGACGATCGGAAGAAGTCATGGCGCTATGCTGGACTTGTAGCGCTTTAGGAAACCGATTCAGGCGGCTCTCGTTTAGCCAATTTATAGCTAATCATTGGCTTTTGCCTCGTTCGAGTCGACCTCATCGTCAGACTTGCTAGAGAAAATGATCTCGAGCTCATAATCTTCGATGACACGCGGTACACCACCGCGTGCGCCTGCAGCAGCAAGTGCTGCACGCTGAGTCGTGGAAGTAGCAGACAAACCTGCGTCAGCTGCTTTGGAATATCTTGTCTCCCTTGCAGCAGTTTAGCAGAGTCTTATTGATGCGTTCTCAGCGGCTTTGGCTGTCTACCGAAAGGACTTGATAGCCATGAGATGATAATGAAGAGTGGACGAATTAGCTAACTAAGGCTTTTCTACCCAAGAGCCATTAAAAAGTGTCACTCAATCATAATTCAGGCGCTAATGTGACTGATGGTTCTGGGGGGGGTCACGGGGTGCCTCCGTTACGGACATATGTACATGAGGTAATTCACAAGTATAAATATAATGTTAGGACTAACTCAATATTCTCGCTCCGCAGATGTATTACAATTTTCATTGGTATATATAGGCTTAGGATATTAATCTATAAAGTCTTGCCACGAAAGAAGCACGCAATGAGTGGTGGGAAGATAGTTACGATACAAGTTTGTTTTAAGAGATCTGTAAATGAACATGAATCGGTATGTTGTTGATAAATTTTAACACACGACATTCAGTTCTATTTTAATCTTTGCTGAGTTCTTTCAACCCGTTTAGCAGTATCCCTCTGCACGTACGTGCGCGTTAAGAAGTCGGACGCAAAACACTCCCTTGCGTTTCATTAAGAAAAGATTTAATTAGTTAGCTAAATAAGGTGTGCCCCGTAACAAAAAGAATGTGATAATAGAAAACAAATCGAGCTGCACATAGTTGACTAATACAATTATAAATTCACTCAACACTTATTTGGTCATTGCCTCAGCACTACGAGAATTTATCCTATAGATGAACCCGCACATTCGCTCAGCCTTTTTGTATTGCTTGTTTCTTCCTAATACATACAATAAAAACAAAATGTTTAACCTACCACATCGATGTTATTTTGCTTCATCATAAGCGAAGCGTTTTTATTTGGATGAAAAGCATTATTTATTTAACAAATTACAGCTGTTATGATTAAAAATCCGTACCACATGCTGCGACCAAACGCAAAATCAAAGTGTTTAATTCGTTACTGTATCTTTCATCGTTTCAATGTGAATTGGTATGTATTTTAAATTTGCGTTAATGAAAACGCTAGAGTCACCTTAGTGAGTTGGTCGTTTTGCCTTATCACGCTTAAGCCTTATAGACTGATAGTTGCTTTGTATAAGATCATAACATATCAAACATTAATATCCGAACCTTATAGATGCAGCAGGGACATGTGCAAGATCAAGCTATTGCATTTAGATTGCATATAAAAATGAAGGCCCGCATTACTTAACATCTATAGAGCATGTAAATTTCCTTAAAATGCGCTTGCTGAACTCCTACATGACGACTGGCATTTTTTCTGCCGTGGCAAAAGATAGTCGAATATATAGCTTTTAAAACTTTATGCGAACACCGCATCAAATAATCTCGGTGACATTAAGGTGCAGATGAATAAATTCTAAAGGGACCATAAATGGATCGTCTTGTCAGGCATACTATCATAATTCAATAAGTGATGATAGAAGATGTTACGTGTAGCCATTTTGATGTCGGCACATGAACAAAGTGTACAGTAGAAATGTACTGTCCAGCGTAGGGAGGTGTGCGGACGGAAATAAGGCATGGATTTTTTAACAGTCGTCTACAAAAAATTTGGGCTTGTTTTCTGCTGTGAGAGACGGTCATTGCCCTTTCACTCTAGGCTAATTTACGCAAATGTGTCGGCTTTGTCACTGATTTGAGATTAAAATGTACAGTAATCGCAATTATTTAACGTGTTTTTTTGGAGAAGTAGTAGCGAGTGTGTAGAAATCGACAACACAAGAAAAAAATGGGTCAGAAAGCCCTTGGAGACGCATGAACCATATGTTGTTTGAAACAGTCATTCACAGAATTTAAGGAATTTTCCTTGTTTCGGTATTATCTGATTGGCCAATGGTTGAAATTGGTGACATGTGGGACTACGATGAAGCGATCGCACAGATATTAAAGGGAGGGACAGGTCAACGAATTTTGAAAGATGGTCAGCCAGGTGGCGACCAGACGGTTGGGAAAATACGACACGGATACGACGTAAAACGACCCCTTGTAAGATAAAAAGGACCGGTGAGTGCCGTCAGACGCATACATGATCAAGTTGCAAAGCGGTTCAGGTGCATTTCGTAGCATTAAAAAAGGGAGCGGTCACTGTAATAGTTTTAACTTACACTTCTGGCTGCTTCTGCACGAGACGCTTTATTAACCAAAAGGTTATTCCATTAATCGAGCGCGATGCCGGGGCATCTGCTCAAGCTACACCTGTGGTGGTGACCGAAGTATTTAAGAAGAACGCTAACTTCCACTGGTAAGAAAATTCGGATGAGTACATGGGGGCAACCGGAAAGACTATGTTTACGCCAAGGAACGTATGTGTGCAGAACTATCGGATGTAGTTCTTTGTAAGTCGGCAAGGGCAACACAGGATCACTGGAGTCGTTTTTCAGTTCAGCCCTAGAATTAAGAGCGTTGATGAGTCTTCAGTCATTGATACGCACCCTCCTCTTGTAAGACCTGTAACGCGTCGCCTGCAACGTACTTTAGGGCACGATGTCACAACCAAACGAATCTTGGTAAACGGCGGATCATGTTGTGACAGACTTCAACATGGGGCTGGGACCTGGCTCTGTGCAAATTGCTGGTGTAACACATAAAAGGAAGAATTTGCCCGCGGGCCTCTATTTCGGCGCGGCGCCGGATAAGGTTTATGGTCATCATGGACCGCAGGTTGCGGGCACGCCGGACGCGCATCATCGAAGTTTCTCGTTATATCCCTATGACAGAAAGGAACTCTACTATGGATTTGGTAGCTACTTTTTAATGGAGAAGTTACTCGTTCGTCAAGTCAGTTTGCGGAGCGTGTGTGTAACTTTGCGTGGCCGAAGGAAATCAAGATTAATGCTCTGGTAAAACATCTGATCGTCAGAGCACGGACGTGTTACCGTCACTGGTTAATTTTCTTGGTGGTCGAATACTAAACCTTGAAGCATGCTGCACAGAGATTGCTTTAGACATTTAACATTTGAGTCCCAATTGCCCAGAGCATAAAGTTGATCACGGCGCCAAAGGCAGGTCACAGAATTTAGACGGAGCAGTTTGTACCTGACGATTATGATCACTACGCCTGAGGTGCAGACAGCCTAGTGTTCATAGTACTAGTCACTAAATGGAATCGCATGTGCGTAAGACCTTGTTGTCCAGGATTATAATGCATCGCGATTTCCTTTTTTGTCAGGATGAAGAGATGGTGCAGTTCGCACAGTCAACGGGGTTTGACATTCACGAAAAAATCTGGAGCGGGATGTGGTCAATGCTATTTAAACAAGTAGCCACCCAAAGGAAACAGTTAAGGCCAAAACAAATGCTATCTTCAGGAAATGTGACGAGGCACGCGTTACAAGTGCAGCGAACATGGGCACATCTGATCAAGGTGACCTCACTAAGAATAGAATTACAGGGAGAGCTTTGCATTTGCTGTAACGGGGCACCCTGAAGCTTGTACTGGTGACAGTACAAGCTACTTATTCTGATAACAGAATGAGGCGGTGCCTTGGAACTTCACGTACACTCGTACGTGCAGAGGAAGACGGTAAGAAGAAGCGAGTACTTGGTTAGAGTAAAAAGTAGAACTGTATTTAGTATAGTTAATGTCTGTTAATAAATCACTATTTATCCTCATCTAACTATGTCTAAATACAAATGTGTAAATCAGTTATCTGCTCACCACTCATTGCGTGCGTCTGTCGTGGCGCGTCTTCGTTGGTTGATATAATGGCCTATATCAACCAATTAGGAACTACTTGTAAGTGCTACAGAATATTTGTCCTTATGACAATATTCTGAGAATATAACTCTTATAGTTATATTCTATTAACAATTTCTTATAAATTGTTATGTAACGATTCACCCCGTTACATCACCCCCCCTTAACCATCAGTCACTTTAGTGACTGATTGACTAAATGGATACTCGTCCCAAATCATTTGGGACAGGGTTTGCACTTGTTGGTCCGCGTCCACTTTCCAATATTTCATCGCATGGTTAACAAGCCCATGCGATGCGCGAACAAGGCCGCCGAGAGCGCGTCTGCACGTCTCTGTGCGGACGCCGAAGCAGAAACCACAGCAACTGATGTCTCATCGGTTGCTGAAGCAACTCAGCCTGTGTCACCTGGTGATGCACGCGTTCGTCATGATGACACTCATGTCTTCACAGAGTACGAGCTCGGTGTCTCGTACTCTCCTGATACGGATGACGGATCCGTATCAACGGCGATTGAATCTAAGCCGCCTGCCAAGCGTGGCATGGACGATGCTTTGCGTCGCAGCATCTTTTGTTCATCTGACGAATCAGATGAACCATCGCCGAAGCGAAGGCGCTCGAGGTCGCGAGACTCGGGCGCTAATAGTGGTGTCGGTTCTCCAATGGACACCACTTCACAGCGAGGTGCCAGTACTTCTGTCGGCACGTCGCAGGAAGAGCGGGACCGCAATGTCTTGCGTCTCGCTCCAGAAAAGAAGGCATGGATGCCTCCGAAATCCGTCATGGATCACTTGTCGGCGACGACGAGTGATCGTTATCGAACAAGATTGTTCGATTCGTCAAGGATCCATCACCTTGACCCCAGCGCGAAAGACTATCGCGCTGAACACGAATTCTTCATCGATGCTTTCTTAAGAAATCGATGATACAGTGGGAATCACAAACGTGATGGTCCCTCACTACTTCAGGCGTGGAACGCCTACATCCATAACCTCGAGGATGTAGGTCGTGACGCTTGGAACGACAAACTTATCAAAGCTCGTAATAAGTTTGAAAAGCGAACCCCGACAGGTGCACGCTACAAGCTGCATCGTCTGTCAAGGGAGAAAGGATTACCCTGCCTCTCTTGGGGAGACTCGTGCCCATGTTGTGTGAACAACTCTGCACGAGCACCTAAGGAGGCTTACCTCCTTACCAGTCCGTGGTGGCGCGTACGTGTCTCTACTGAGATGTACGAAGGGATTGACAACCTGAAATCCCTTTACGACCGTGCCGGAAAGACTTTCTCCGGCGGTCCTTCTGCGGCACAGGATGTGCCGCGTCGTACTGCTCGACCAGACCCAGTACGTCAACCATCAATTGGGAGCGGGGCTCCCAAGAATCCCAGGACGGGGGATAGCCGCGCCACCGGACGAGGTAACTCGTCCGACGTCCGTTCACGTCGCGTTGGTTCAACAGCTGCTCAACTAGATAGCGCTGGCCACCGCGAGAGTCCTCTAATGGAGGTGGAGGAGGAGGAAAGACGCTCTCCACACGATCATGTGGATCGGTGTGTTCCCGAGAGCTTCTTTGATCGCGTAACGCAAGGGTTACGCGACGATCTCGAGCATGAGCGGAATAGGCGTCTCCAAATGGTGGACACTGCCTCGAAGCATCGAGCTGAGTTTGCCTTTGCTCAGCTTGAGAACGAGAGATCTCTGACATCTCTTCGTGACGAGCTAAGGGTAGCTCGTGGGATTGTTGATCGGTCTCGGGCTGAGATAACTGCTCTTCAGACCCTTGTTGATGCCCACCATCAGGAGCACAAGGCTCTCTGCGAGATGCTTGAGCGCAAGGGCGTTCTTCATCGGAAGAAGCAGCGTACTGATGGTACGGCTTAAGCCGACCAACGTAAAACGTGGGATGCGTTCGCATCTTACGTGGTAACTCGATCGTGTATGCATTGCCTAGGCGGTGCAGTACACGAAATGGGCCAATGTACTTGGGTAGTAGTTTACTGCTACCCAAGTTAGTCACTACATGCTTTGGTAGAGTAACCGTAGACAGTAGGACTAAGTCACCTTTACTAAATAAAAGAGTGTTTGCCCTTCCATTCTTGTCAGCGTTTTGCTTTTGCTTATCCACCGCTTCGGCGATGGAGTCTTGCACAAAACGGACTACCGTTTCACGAGCCAGTATGAACTCATCTGATGACTCGTTAGCTTCAGTGTGCTGTGAGCGCACTGCAGCGACAACAACCTTTTCTTCAGTGAGGGCTTCCGCACTCTCGCTGGGATCATTGTCTTCAGTGAGGGCTTCCGCACTCTCACTGGTATCATCTTCTTCGATATCGATGTTATCGATATCGGCATCGAACGCAATGACTTCTTCGTCAGAGCGTGATGAGCGTGAACCAAATCGGTTTTTGCTCGCGCGAGTCCCCTCCCCTTAAACCAGAGTTACACTCTAGTAAGGTGGGTACACGCGGATGGCGCAAGCCGTTCACGTAAAACGGTGTATGTGTCGTGGACGCATGCACCGAGTTGTTGATGGCAAACTCTACCATTGGCAAAAACTCACTCCAACTCTTAAAGGAGTGTACGTATCCTCGAAGTATCTCTTCAAGGACACGATTGGCACGTTCCGTCTGACCATCTGACTCTGGATGATCAGATGTTGACATCTTCAAGCGCGTTCCGAGTGATTTGAACACGGACCGCCAGAAATCAGCAGTGAATCGTGGATCTCTGTCTGATACGAGTTCACGGGGCAACCCATGAAGTCGGAAGATGGTGTCAATAAAGACACAAGCACAGCCACTTGCCGTGATTGTCTCTGGTACAGCCACAAGGTGTACCATTTTGCTGAATCTGTCAACAAATACGAGAATACCCGTATTCCCGCGTGCGTCTTTGGGTAACCCGAAGACGAAATCCATTGAGATGGATTACCAGCACTCAGCCGGAACCGGTAGAGGCTGTAAAGGTGCACGCAGTGAAGGACTTGACTTCACTCGTTGGCAGACTTCGCATGCGCGAACATACTTTCGCACAAACTGATACTGGCGGGGCCAGTAAAAGTCTCGACTTACCGTAAGATATGTTTTCTCTCGGCCACGATGTCCTCCTATTGGAGCATCGTGATACTCGAACATGATCCGCAAACGCAGATCAGTATCATCTGGAATGACAACACGTGGTGTGTCACCAGAAACGGCTGTATAATACAGTAAACCGTTACGAGTAGTGTATCGATCTGATGCAGATCGATACGCAGGCGACAATCGTTTCAACGATTCTCGGGATGGTTGGGAGAGATGTGACAACAACTTCACTATCTCACCATCTTGGGCGTATGCCCGCCTCACATCATCACACAACATTGTAGATGGAACTGAGGACGTCATAACCGCAACAGTGACCGTCTCACTGTTGGGTTTCGCGACTGTTTCAAAGTCGGGACGACGTGAGAGTGCATCAGCGACGACATTAAGTCGTCCTGGTTTGTACTCGACCGTAAAGTTGTATTCTGCAAAGAATGACAACCACCGCGCCATTCGTTGTGAAAGGTGCGGGCTGTTCACTGCCGTGCGTAATGACGCATGGTCAGTGTAAACAACGAAGGGTCTATCTCCTAATAGATAGACTCTGAACTTCGCGAGCGCATACTTCATGGCAAGGAGTTCCTTGTCATGCACTGGATAGTTCCGCTCAGCTGGTTGCAGCTGACGCGACTGATAGCAGACGACGCGTTCAACGCCTTCAAGATCGTACTGCATTAATGCACAGCCGATTGCGAAATCGCTGGCATCACAGACCACATGAAATGGCCTGTCCTGATCGGCTATTGCTAGGACTGGGGATTGTATCAACCTCTGCTTGATATCCTCAAAGGAGCGTTGACATTCAGCGTTCCATAACCATCTCTCGTTCTTTTTCAACAAACGAGAGAGGTGCACAGTCATCTCGGCGTAATTGCGTGAATACTTATGCAAATACGCCGCTAGCCCAAGGAATTTTCGAAGACCTTTGACATCGACCGGCACAGGCCAGTCGGTGATCGCCTTGATCTTTTCGGGATCAGGACGTACACCGTTCTTACCAACGATGCACCCAAGAAGTGGTATTTCGCTTGCTGCAAATATACACTTCTTGAGGTTTGCATACAATTGATGCTTTCGCATGATTGTAAGAACTTGTCGGACGTGGTACCTGTGAACCTCAACGTCCGACTTTCCATCCATAGCTCGACTATGGATGAATACGTCATCGAAATAACTCGGCGCGAACTCTCGTACTGGCCTCAACAGATGTGATACACATCTGTTGAACGTGGCAGGGGCATTACTGACCCCTTGTGGCATTACTAGCCATTCCCAGAGCATGCCGCTAGGCGTGCTAACTGCGGTATAGGGTATATCCCGTTCCCGCATAAGGATTTGATAGAAGCCATCCATCAAATCCATGGACGAAAAGATGGTACTCTTTGACATACCATCAATGATTACGTCCTTCCTCGGTATCGGCGTCTGAGCCGGTACCGTTGCAGCGTTCAATTTGTTGAACGCGTGCACTATCCGCCACCCTCCTGTTGCTTTTCACACACAGAAGGTCGGAGAGCTATGTGGGGAAGTTGATTCCCTCACATGGCCCGCTGCTAAACGATCGGCAAAGAACTTGTCGATCGCAAGTACTTGTTCACGAGGCAGTGGCCACTGCTTCATGACACAGTACTTCAAGCCTGGTTTAAGCTCGACTTCGTGTCGAATACCTTTATCCTTCGGTAATTCGCACGGAACAGTTTCAGGGAATACATCCTTGAATTCAACCAAATCTTCATAGAGAGGATTTTTCTTGAGCGATTCCCATGATTGGGAGTCATATCGCTCAATTCGTGTCTTTTCATCTAGGACACTCTCGTCCATAGATGAACTACTGAGAACTCTCTCGTTCTCAGTAAACACTGTTGCTGACCTTATGTCGGTTACACACTCGTCGTCAGCGACGAGTATGCAGATCTGCTTGACTTTGCCACTACGCAGATCACGCAAGAACCTTTTATGTTCGAGCGTTGGCAACTGAGTGATCTCCGAAGTTAACTTCGGAGGCGCAATCAGATCAAGTGTATAAGCGCCTACACATGATCCGTTATTGACTCTGACATTCAATGTCTCTGTCATTTCCTGGGGACTTATTCCCTCAGGCTTCGAAGGACTTATTCCTTCGGCTTCCTGGAGACTTATTTCCGCGGGTTTCGGGGAACTTATTTCCGCCGTGTTTGTAATCTTGGGACTTATTCCCTTTACTTCCTCTAGCTGGGGTTGCGCAACCACAGCGAGATCCTCTACGAAAGACTCTCCAGTCGATCTAGGATTATCGTTTCGCTTAACCTGAGCGATCGATTGTTTCTCTTCTAGATGTTCCCCTCTAGGGATACATCTTTGTCCCAGTCCACCCGACTTATTCGAGTGGTGGACCTTCGGCGCAGCCTGTGTTTCCTCACAGCCGCCGGAACTTTGCTCCGAAGTGTAACCGTTTGGTACACTAAGGTTTTGTGCAGTCGTACTAACGACCGTACCACAAGTGAGGCCATCGCACTCACTCGTAGTACATCCACACGCTTGTGGACGCTCCAAGACGTTCATCAGATGGCCATCTGATGAACAAGCGGCAGGCATCGTTACTGTCCGATGTTGCCAGTTTACTCGTGGTTCGTACCTTCTGAGCCACGGTATTCCAAGGATGACATCAAATTTGTCATCCAAATCCAATACGATAAAGTCATCGTCATATTGGGTATCTTCTAGCGTATAGTGAATCTTCACTATACGCTTCATGACGGTTACGGATGCGCCTGTCGCAAGACGTACCGTCATCCTCGTAGGAGGTGTGTCACATTCACTGAATTTAAAGTGACCATCTTCTAGCGATTGGCGTCGCACAAAATTGTTGGACGCCCCACAATCAACTAGAGCTCGAAGGGACAACTTATTTGTCACTTCGAGTTTCAATGTAATGAGTGAGACCTCATTACCTAGAGCAGCAACGCACAACGTTTGTGTGTTGGGAGCATTCTTCATCAAGAGGCCTACAAATTCTCTTGACGTTGCTGGACCAGTAGGGTGCTCCGCACCTACTGATCCTGTCCGTTTTTTGACGGTCCATCCCGTTGTTGCGTCTTTGCACCAACTGCGGACCCTCGTCCCTGCCCCTTTCTCATGGGTGGACGGTCACTACGCCCAGTGTCGCGAGACACTGGACGAGGGGCACTACACTCGTAAGCGTAGTGTCCTGTCTTCTGACATCTGTTGCATCTCTGCAACTTCTTGTAGCCTGTAGAGCGAACCTTCTCGCTCTCTACATAACAGAGTTCCATCGGCTCTGAACCTCCGTTGTCATATCGTCTCGGTTGACGATATGATGTCGAGCTGGCGCGAGCCTGTCTCAGACTGAAGTCTTCCTGCTCCGCAATAGAAATGGCTTGTTCTAGTGAATCTAGTTCAAGCCGGAACAGGTGAATCTTGACGGGACCATCCGCAAGACCCTGCATGAACACCGAAACCAACGTGTGTTCATCCACTGGATTGGAACTTATACAACTCGTAAGATGTCGTATATGTTGAGCGTAAGCGTGCACATCAAGCTTACCCTGCTTGAGCTTCAAGAGTTCGGTTCGAGCCCTGAACTCAGCTCCAGGCGGTTCAAACGTTTGTCTGAGCCGCGACTTGAAGACTTCCAACGACCCAAACGCATATGGGTCGTGCAGCTTGAGCCCCAGTGCCCAAGTCTTGGCACGTCCTGCCAGATTTGATTGGGCAAATGCAACTTGCATATCCCCGTCGTCGATGCGACGCGCCCTTATGGCGTCATCCAATTTGACGAACCATCTCAAGAGGGAGTCT